AATGTCAAGAAAAGATACATGTAAATTGTCATAAATTTCTCCATACTAAACAAAGTGGACCATACGCTACGAATCTCAACTTCCAGTGCCTGATCCATACTTTGATCTAAGCGTAATGAGAAAGTATTTTCAGATAATCACTAGGATATCAGATATCGGGACTTATGGTCATACAAGTTCTTCTTAGACTTAGTCTCAAGGATCACGATGAATTCCAATTCCTATATAAACTCGATTCCTCTCAGGTCCTATAACTCTCCCAGGCTTTGAGGATCCCACACTGGGAAAATCATTCGTTATAATTGCCCATCCTCACTGTTTGTCTACCACTCTTCAAACGGGTCTTCCTCCGTCAAAAGTAGAAATTCCGTTTTCACTCCCAGCCGAAATTGAAATTTCAACATCATCATCGTGGTCTGTGGGAGATGAAGAGGAAGCATCGTTAATTTGTGAGCCCTGTCACCGATTATACGTCCAACCTCCGCTCTCGCACACACGTATACCGCCTCACGGAACTTATTGTTGTAACTTTTTGCTGATAAAATTCAAGCAGGAGAGCAACTCCCCTCCCTCCCTTTTTTTGGGGAGTGGGGAGAGGAAGTCATGGAGCGTAGATAGAGCGGTTTATACGTATTAGACCAGCGACTAAGTAGAACGGCAACAACAATAGCCCAGGCACTAGCGGCACCACTACACAAGAAAAAATATTCCGGTATGAGGATCACCCTGGCTTGAACTTGTGCTTGTGTTTTCAAACAAATAAAGTCCTAATTTATGGTGAATGTGATATGATTTTGGATCTATGATCATATAAAGAGTAATATAATTTTAGGATAATTATCATCGTATAAATATTTTTAAACTTATGTCGAAAATATAGAAGATTATTCTAGTCAGTAGGTCCTGGTGTGAAAGCCCCATTTCGTAAGATCTGAACTGATCTCTGATCCTATTTTCCACCGTGCAGCCATAGCGAACACAGTGGACCCATGGACCGGGCCACAGCCCCCGAGAGTCGGAGTCAGAGTTCCGATCCGATCCCAGGCAAAGCTCCACAAAAGCCACTCAAAAGTAGAAAAAATTAAACAGACTGAAAAATGAAAATAAAAAACACACCACCAACAACACGCAATAGGGCAAGGCAAACAACAACAGCGGCAGCGACGCCGACTGAGAAACAGCAACAGGAATTTACGATTCAGTGACTACCTTATTGTTGTTGTAGTTGTCTAGCCTGTGTGCCTGTGTCTGTGTACATTTGTTGCTTTTTCACCTGGGTTGGGGAGCTCTGTCTGTGTGTGTGTGAGAGCCTATTAGGCGAAACGATCGTTTCCGTTGCAAGGGGCAAAAGGGGTGGGGGTTGCTGATGTTGTCTTGTTGTTGTTGCCGTTACGCCTTCAGCCAGTTAATAATAGACAACAACAACAACAACAACTACAACAACAACTACAACAAAATACCCACCAAGGTGTGTAGGATAAAAAACACACAAGCAAATTAAAAAAAGAGCGAGGGAACTTTGCTCAAAGCTCGCTGCTTAGGATCCCCAGTCGCTTTGAGCCACACTGCCAATCCAATCCACTTGTAGAATTTACAGACCGCTTACGTAATCCCTCGGCTTAAAAAACATCAGACGAACGCTCCTGCAAACCAACACGAAAACAAACAGTGGAACTTCCCCAACCTGTAATGGATTTCGGTACTGGTGGGGAAATCTATTAACCAATTTGGAACCTTTGAATAAATACTCAAATAACCTTTAGTAAATCCTTAACTGCTATCAGGATTCTCTTTAAATTTAATGAAAGATAAGTACCGAAAAGATTATCATTATATTTTTTGATACATAAATCCAACAATATCCGGATTTTCAAGATGTTTCCCAAAGCTAATATTTTACATATAAGCCTACTTATTTGGACGAGGTTCTGATTCTGAAAAATTTTAAAACAGATGTGTTTAAAATTGAATTTAAAGTGCAATCCCACTTACGTTAGTTCGTTCGGATACCCACTGTATGTCCCACCACGCCTGCGTTGCTGGCTCTCGCGTTTCCACATGCTTTTCCCATATTTCGGTGGCCTGGAAAACCCCAGTAAAGCTGCGGCCCAACCCCAAGTGGTTCCAATAAAGAGCCCAACCCAAAAAGTTGCCCTTACAACAACGACAACAACTACATCTGGGGCGGCGGGAAAAAGCGAGGGAAACGACAAATCATCAACTGTTGCACACCCAAAAGGTTGCTGTTGTTTCCTAGCTTTTTCCAGCGCGTTTTTCTTTTTAACCCCGTTTCGCTGCCCCGCCCCCGCTTCCCCCCGCCCCCAGCCATCGCGTGCACAGCAAAGGAAATTAAAAATTCAAAAAGTCAAAGGCGCAAGCAAGAGAGCAAGAGCAGCGCTCTCGCTCTGGCGCTCTTCCTCGCTCTCTCTGTTTGGAGACTTGGGGATCAGCGAAATGTCTCCACAAACCGCAGCCCTATTGCCTGTTTGTGTGCGCGTGTGAGTGAGCAAGAGCGTTCCTTTTGAGAGAGGAGGATTTGTGGAGCGCGTGTGTGTTCGTACGAAGAAGAAGCAGCGCCGGCAGCGACGCCGACCGCGCTGCCTTGGCGCTCGGGAACTTGGAGCCCAGTTGCCGACCCGATCGCCAGAGGATCGCCGCTCACTCACTGTATTGGTGTCAAGCAAGACGGACGAAATACTGCCGACTGCCGACGACGCGCCGCTGCCTAGAAGAGAGTTTCTTCCCTCTCGCTCACACGCGCGCCCCCTCTCGCTGTCTCTCTCTCGCGCCGAGTTGTGAAAATTTCCACAAGTTAAAATTAAATGAAAAAAGTGCAAAGGAGGCAGGCGAAATAGCGGATAGTAATTTCGGTTTAACAATTGCGGGCAGTGCATTAGTAGCCTCCTTTAAATGTGTTTCCAAAAATAAAAAAGTTGGTTGAAAACTTCAAGGGAAGACCGAGCTGAATAAGGTGCTTATAATGTTTTTGATTCATCCAATCGGGGGAACAGTGTGTGACGGAAAAGTGTTTTAGGACTTGACTTGCAAAACCATCCCCACAATCTACGAACATTATAAAAATTCATTCAAAAGAGTGACTAAGAAAGGGTGTATAGTTATTTAGGACCTACGATATAACCCCCAACCGGAGAAACCGCCCTCTCGCTCGCTCAGTATCTCCGTCTCCGTCTCCTTTTCAAGGCGTACACGTATTGAAAGGGGGTGTAAAACAGACCGAGTGTGTGTGTGCTGTAAAGTGATCTCCTCTCCGCAGGCAACCGCCCACCCCTAAAAACATCCGCTCTTATCAGGGCAGTGTGCGTGCGTGTGTGTCGGTGTGTGGGGGGAGGGGGACTCGAGTGAGCAGAGGTCGGCGGCAGCGCAGTCGGCTTCCTGCGTCGAGGACTTTGACTCTTCCAGTCTTTCGCGAGTCTTTTCCGAGTGAGGACGTGTCAACTGTGAACTGGAACTGATCCTCTCTCCTGCACTCGCTCTCACTTTGCTTCACACAGCGGTAAAGAAACCAACTAGTGGCAGAAAAAACAATACAAATCCGTTTAAGAGCCAGCAATAAATGAGAAATACACATATTCGTAGTCGTGCGATCGGACAGGCGAAAAAGCTTTGCCGCCAAGCTTTTCTAATAACTGTTTGGCGGTGCCAGTGTGTCTGTGTGTGTGTGTGTGCGCCGATCTCTCCCTTTCTCTCTTCATTGAATGGTTTCTCAATTGATTTGAACAAGTGCATAAAAACAATAACAATTGCAACAAACGAAAAGTGCAAAGCATAGACAACAAAATAGAAGCGTGGAAAAACAGAAAGCAAACTAAACTAAACTAAAAGTGAAGACTGTGTGTGCCAGGGCCAGGAAGACGGGACTGGAATTTCGTGGGCGAACGGGAACGATTTTCAATTAAGTGTACAAAGCAACTGAAACTGGCGTGGCGATAAGATAAGAGCGGTAGCGGCAAATATTTAGCAAGTGGAGCGGGCAAGAGGAAGCGTGGTTTCAAGACAAGGATTTTTTTGTTGGAATTACGATCGCCGAAAGTGAGATAACGGTCGGACGGGACATGAAAAAAACGTGCCACGAATATTCTTGCATGACTTTCCACTGGGGAATCAAGGCTGGTGCGTGTGTGCGCGTTCCAGTTTCCAGTTGGCAGGCCTGTAAAGTTTTCCAGTCAGCTTGTTCATTTGTTGCTCTTCTAATTCCACACCCTTTCCTTTGGCAAGTTTCCAAGTCATGCACACTCACACAGATCAACAGTTGCTGTCATTCCAGTCGCGAGCTCTCTTTCTCTCACACACACACCATCACTGCAGTGCGTGTGCGTGCCTTGTTGTTGTTGCTGCTGCCTGCCTGCCCATTTGAAACACATTTGAAATTTCCTCATTTACTTTTCCTCAACGGGGCCTGCATAATGTGCTCGTCTCTGACCCTTTGGGGTCGACTCTTAAATTAAATTCAATTGAACGCCGGCAGCGCGCCAGCAGCGCAGTTTCCAGCTGCAGGACTCTTTTGGAAAACGGGAAGGGAAATACAGTGGAGCTTGGCTAGTCGATCATTGATCGTGTACAAAGTAGGGGGAGTTTCGTCTTTGAAGGGGTAATTCGGGAAAACTTCGTTTTTGAGTTCATAAACTAGGCATTATAAGTAGAGTATCGCTCAGAAAGCAATTACATTTTTAGATCCTCAATTACTTGTTTTTAGTTGTGCAGATAACAGTATAGAAATATATTGTTATGTTAAAACAGTTGTTAGAAGCTTTTCAATATATTCCGTAATACGAACCTTAATGTTATCTTAAATCTTGTGTTTTGATATTTTGTATTTATTTATTTTTAAATCTGTGATATGTACGCGTGTTTTTTTTTATTACGACAATATCTATTGATAATGCCCATATTTTCAATTTGATGCTTTCTATATAAAGGAGTTCTTATTACAAACGTAGTGCCTTGACTAATCTTCGAATTTCCTTCCTTTCCGATTGCAGCACGCCCTGGAATATATGTTTTAAAGCTGACAGGCCCCAAGGAGTAAGAATCCCAGCCCAGGACAACCGAAGGACCTTAGATGTACCCAGGGCAGACATACAGCCCCACTTGCATGAGGACATAGATCGCGATCGCACACCCACTCGCACACCGCTTCGTGACGCAACCACAGCCTCCCAATGAAGATGGCATCCCAACGCTTCTGTCTGCGGTGGAATAACCACCAGAGCAACCTGCTGTCCGTCTTCGACCAGCTGCTCCACGCAGAAACCTTCACAGATGTGACGCTGGCCGTCGATGGGCAATACCTGAAGGCCACACAAGGTAGGTGGTCCTTGTGTTTGTAAAAAGGGGAACAAATATTTTTATCGGAATACCTCGTATCAACAATGTTTTTGTATATTTTAAAAACTACTATTTTGTTATATTAAACATTATGTTTGCAAAGCAATGCCCTTTCTAAGTTTCTTGTTATTTAAGAACAATAATTGCCTTAAAATCATCAACATTTAATATAATAATTCTATTTTATATTTAATTTGTTTTCCCCCTTTAACTTAACTAATTATCCTGCCTGTCAACAGATGGTGCTATCCGCCTGCAGTCCTATTTCAATGCCTTGTTCGTAAATCACCCGGAAAGCATCCGATTGTCATACTAAAGGATGTGCCCTACTCGGACATGAAGTCCCTGCTGGACTTTATGTACAGAGGAGAGGTCTCCGTGGACCAGGAGCGACTCACTGCATTCCTGCGCGTGGCCGAGAGCCTGCGCATCAAGGGCCTCACCGAGGTCAACGACGACAAGCCCTCGCCGGCGGCAGCCGCAGCAGGAGCGGGGGCGCGGGTTCCGAGAGCACGCCCACTCCTCCCCAGCTGCCAGCGCATACAGCCGTACTTGGTGCCCCAGCGGAATCGCTCGCAGGCCGGCGGTTTGCTGGCGGAGCCACCAATGCAGGAAACACTCCCACCCTGCCGGTGCAGCCATCGCTGTCAGCTCGGCCCTGATGCCCAAGCGGAAGAGGGGCAGGCCCCGCAAACTATCAGGCAGCTCGAATGGCACGGGGGAACGACTACGACGACTTTGATCGCGAGAACCTGATGCACGACACCTCCGATCTGGGGCAATGGCAAACTGGGCAACGAGTCCTACTCCGGCAATGACGACGGCTCCGATGACAATCAGCACACTGCAGGACACACGGATGATCTGAATGTGAGTTTCAGGGAGTGAGCACAGTTCTAAACGATGCGCCGTTTACAATCAACTACATTAAAGATAGCCTGCAAATATTCGTGTAACAATCCAATCTCCTTCCCTTCCATTCACAGGAAAGTCGCGATTCTCTACCCTCGAAACGATCAAAGAACTCCAAGGATCACCGCGCAGTGAGCCAGCACGAGGACAACAGCACTTCCGGTGAGTCCTCGATACCAGTACATTCCCGCACAGACAGAGCGAACCATTACCTAGTCCTAAGATCATTTGCCTAGCCCTAAGACAATGCACCATCAACCATTCTTAAGTCGACTCTCATGTGCACCCAGCAAAAGACATGTATCGAAACCCAACTCAATCCAATACAGAGCCAGGCTGAAGTCACATAACCACATTCGACCAATCTCATCTGCGAATATCGGAAAAGCTAAAAGGGATTTTACGCATTTCAATTAGTAGAAATCTGAAAAGCAAAAACTCGCGTCGGTTTCTCCCCCGCTTAGTGCAAAAGTAAATTGAATTGAAAAAAGAAAATGTGAGAAAGTAATACGAAAATTGTTAAGTGAATTCGCAACGTTCGAGGCATCTTCCGTCCGTCGGCAGGTGAGTGTCCCCAACAACCAGCTAATGCAGTTGATGCCCAAGAAATGCAAATCCACCAGCTGACGAAGAGATTATTGTGAAGTTGAGAATCGGGTTGAGCTCACAGGGATTCATGGCCGACGTGATAAGAATGATCAAGAAACAAGTAGCTAACAAAATTGTCCAAATTTACCGCGCCTCAAAAAGTCAAAAGTAGCCAGATAACTCAAGAAACTGAAAGCAAATCGCCACCTCTCATGACCATCACCCACAACGAAATGCTGATCTGTGTTGTCCATTTCCGATCATCTCCTCCACGAAACCAGGCAAAAATTAACCAACGAAAACAGGAAGTTGATCAACTGACACTGAGCTGTCAATGAAAACAGAAACAGAAAAACTTTCGAACTCGCAACGCGTTGAAAATGGCTTGAAATCCCTATAGCTTTTCCGATCCGATTTGAAACTCTTTCTCTCTCACTCGCTCGCGTCATGTGTTTTGCCTTTCTCTCGCATACATCCTGCACACACATATTTACTCCCATATCATAACTTATACTAAGTTTATGCGCCCGATGTTTGTAAAATTAGTAGTTAATTATTATACTCAAACGTAATAAGCTTTGTTCGAAAAAAGTTTTAAAGGCTTATATCAATTTAAAATTTTACAAAAGTTACAAATTATGAAGAGTGTTTATTGAACACTAATACGTTACATATTGATATTGGTATTTTTACAAATTAATGTGGCGTATAAGCATAGTATTAGACATCTAAGAGGCACCCAATTAAACAATCCTAACCATTTTATGAGGCAACGACAGCGACGGCGAAGGATTGGACACATCTTATATGGAACCTCAACTCATGTGGACGAATACGACGAGCCCGTCGAGTTCAAGTACAACCCCTCACCGACAACAGCTCGCCCACGCAGGACCAAGCGGATGGCAGCCACCTCAACGAACAGGCGCGCCAACAAGCCTTCCTCATAGCCGCCCGCGGAAGCACCAGGCGGACGCAGCTGCAGCGGCAGGGGCGGACTCAAGCTTACATTATCGAATGGCCGCTGGCGGGGCGCAGGTGAAGAGCATGGTCAGCATACCAAAGCTGACGCCCATTGGCAAGGTCAACGCCGCCTCGACACCACTGTCTCGCCCGCCGGCTCCTCCTCCATGGCCTCTGTGAAACCGCGTTCCAGAAGCGGCCCAAACTGGCCAAACAGAACGGCGACGTAAAGCCGGCCGTGTTACCAGCCAGGATTACCTCGACATTTACAACAGC